GATTTGTGCCTGGCCAAACTAAAACATCCTGAAAGGTCCTCAAAGACAAGAAGAAGCAGTGGACTAGGATAAGGGGACAGGCAGTCCTTTGTCACTAACCATCCTATGTTACCTTGAGTTGATCATTTCACCACTGTGTTTCTTGGTTTACCCATCTGTAAAAGGAGATGTAATAATATCCACTTCACAGGCCCTTTTTAAGAATTAAGTGAAAAAAAAAAAAAAAAAAGGAAAGAAAAAAACCCTAGTTTAGGGGCTGGCACCCATTAGGGTCTCAGCAAATACTCAAACCTTCTCTGTGCTTCCTTTAAGAGGTCATTACCAACATCGAACACCATAATTCTTTGCAGGAAGGATTGATACACGAGACTATGTATAGCAGCGCCTGGAAAAAAATAAAGCCTTCCTCAGCTCTGTGAGGAAGCAATAAAAACCTAGGGCAAGGCACAAAACAGACAATGAAAATATGACTTAAGAGTGGGGGAGGGACGGGGGCAGGGTAAGGGCGGTGACTGCACTAAATGAAAAACAACAACTCAATACCCTGCTATCATCCTTCATCAAACTACGGAAATAGAACCCAGACAAAAACATTATGTGAAGGGCAAAAGGGTCGGCAAGGCCCTGGCCTATCGGAAAAACCCAGGTTCGATAATGTCGCACGAAGAGGGAGGCAGGAAAGTGAGGCCAGAGTCAATAGCGGGGTTTGGCTGATTTTACCGTCCTAATGAGGTTTAAGCATCACTGTCCTTTTTTGCTGAACTCAGTTTCTCATTAGACTCTGTATCTGCTCCCAGATCTGCCAGCCACATGGCAAGAGCTGCTTCCACTTCCTCTGGCTGATGAATTATCAAGGGTATTCTCTGACTTTCTTTTTTTGGGAGAAGAAAACAGTTTTTGGTGAAGAAAACAGTTCCTTCTATTTATATCCACTCTTCTCTCTGATTACAGAGATGATCAATTCTGGGGACGAACAAGGCTCCTCTGAGCCCTCTGTCTCTGTTTAGAGAAGGACACAGTTAAGATACCATTCTAAGATTGGCTGCTCTGTGGTGGGTCTGTATCTGTTCTTGAGGGCAGGAAGGGATCAGAGGCCTGGAGCTGTTGTATTTTATTTTGTTCTGTTTTTGAGGATTGAACCCAGGGCAATGAGCTTGCTAGGCAAGCACCCTGTCACTGAGCTACACCCTCAGCCCAGGGAGCTATGTTTTTTAATATCTTCAGGATTGTTGGGATAGTTACATTTTGTGGCAAGCTCTTTACTAGGTGCTAGGGACACAGAAATCAAGAAAAAGAGTTTTAAAAAAATAGAAGGAAAGAAAAGGATTAGGATAGTGCTCAAGTTAGCAAAGAGTTTATAAGAGATTTATACCACTAGCTTGTCGATGGCTGCGGATAACCAAGTACTGGGTTAACTAACTAGCATTTTAACAGATCTTTCCCAGGATTTGTTATTTTAGAGGCCTCACAACAGTCCTGTGGATGGGTGCTCTGCTCCCTTCCCCCTCCCCCTCTTCCCCACCCGTTCCAGATGGTCTCCATTTATTTAAAGATCACACTGTGGTCCTTTGACTCCAAGCCCAGTGCTATTACCTCTGTATCTATTACAACTGTCTCCTAATAGCCAAGTGGACAGTGCAGAATTCCTCCTAAGGAAAAGAGGGCACAAGAATTTGCTCATCTTTCATCAGAAAATGTAGCCTGGGAAACTCCTTGTTTTAAAAGATTCAGGTTGAATGTAACATTCTGGGTAAAACCTGTTCTGTTTTCCTCAGGCAGAGGGACTAACATCTTCTTATGTATCCTTGTGCCTTTCAGAACATGCAGTAATCGTATTAATGAGGTTAATGGGTGTAATAATGGTAGTACAAAGGCCCACCACTTACTGAATGTGCCATGCTAAGTGCTTTCCATGTACTATTTAATGCTCAAAAAAACCCAGGGGAGACACTGTTATTACTCGCTGCTTATTGTGTTGGTTAGGACTTCACTTTGGCTACATGTTGAAACCTGTCCGCAGTGGCTTATGCAATTGGGATTTTTCTTGAACAAGGATGAATTAGAGGTAGACGGGCTTTGTGGCACCACAAAGCCTCCCTTAGCACATTGCTTTGCTGTTTTCCTAACCTGTTGTAGACAGGAGGAAGGGTGAAGGGCAAGGAGTCTTTTCTTTTTTTTTGAGTCTTTTCTTTATGTGGATTTGTCATATACGTTGGGAAGAAATGTCATTCCCTGTCTACATTTTGAGGGCCACAGTGGTGTTATGTAGCCATCCTTTGCTGCCAACAAGCCGAAAATTCTTTTCCTTTTTTCTTCTTTTCAAAGCTGGGCAGTTTACTGCCCTGAACAAAATTGGAATTATGCTAGTAACAACTAAGAGAATGGATATTGGGTTGGCCAGTACTTGTGACACAAATGCAGAAACTGGGCATCACAGATGCTAAAGTTCTTGTCTAAGGTCATGTATATGACAAAGTTAAATTCAAGCCTATGTCTGACAACCAGAGTCCAGGTTTTGGCCAGTGTAAGAGATGATAATGATAATGACTTATCATTGTCTTTTTGTTTGTTCATTCCTTCCTCCCCAGATGATGAGCTGTTTGGTACTTGGAATATATTTTTTTCACTTTGGTATTCCAAATTCTTGGCCATAGTTTCTTAAATGAATAAGTGTTAAGATTGCAGTAGTTTCATCAGCTAAACATTCTTTCTAGGAAAATATTCTTCAATGTCCTTTTCCATTGTAATATATCAAACTACCTGTTTTCAAACAAGTAGTTTAGGTGTGTATAAAATAAATGATGTTTGTCTTTTGCAGTCATGGGCCCATTTCGCCTCTTCTATTATTCGTAGGGATCCAATTTCCTTTTGTTCTGCCAGGTCATTCAAACATTCTTATACCATATTTCTCTATTTTTTAGGGACTTGAGCACTACTTGAATAACAGTAATTTGAGTCACAGGCAGCTCTGATCCCAAATCTTATTTATTGCTTAGTCATGGGGCAGCCCAAGAGGGACCTAACATCATTTAGATTTCAGTATTCTGGCAAAGCAGATAAGGATGGGAGAAATCTTTTTCTTTCCTTTTCTTTCTTTTTTCTTTGGTGGTACTGGGGTTTGAACTCCGAGTCTTGTGCTTGCTAGTGGGGTGTTCTACCACTTGAGCCCCACCTCCAGCCCTTTTTGCTTTAGTTACTTTTTGAATAGGGTCTTGTGTTTATGCTTGGGCAGTCGTGGACTGCAATCCTCTTATTTATACTTCCCGTGTAACTGGGATAACAGGCTTGCACCACTATGCCCAGCTCTTACTGGTTGAGATGGGAGTCTCTTGAACTTTTTTTCCTGGGCTGGCCTCAAACTGCTATTCTTCTGATGTCCACCTTGCAAATAGCTAGGATTATCACAACCAGTGGAGGGGTGAATTCTTAAGATATCAGTTCAGTAAGTAATTTTTTTTTTTTTTTTTTAGAAAAGCAACCATGGACATGGATAACTATTTCTTGTGGGGACCGTTTTGTGCATGGTAACATATCGAGCAACATTCCTGGCTTCTATGTGCTGGATCCCAGCAGCAGCCCCCAGTTCTAACAATAAAAAAAGTGTCTTCCGATATTGTCAAATAAGGGAAAAAGTCAAAATCTGCCTCTGGTTGAGAACCACTGATTCAAACTATCTCGTTTTACTGATGTTGTCGTCAAAAAGATAAAGTAACTTGTTTAAGGTAGTTAGCAAGGCCAGGCCTAGAACCCAAGTAATTTGTGCAACATCACTTTTTCTTTCCTATAGAGGACACAACACGGAACCCTGGCAAAGTGGATACAACTTTTGTCATTTATAGTCTGTAGGAGAGAGAACCTATTACACAGATCTCTAACTGCAGAGAGCTGATAAGCAATACGGTACTACATAAGCAGCAAGGTGTAGGCAAAGAATGTGATCTGACGTCCTGCGATCTGGATCGGCCACATTTTTGTTGCGGAAATTGACCAAGTTCAGTCATTAATGCAATGGAGATCATTTCCTCTACCTCTATCACCAACCTCAAAACGGGTCTGTAAACTCGTGGTGCAAACTGTAAAGCTTCTACAAACATCAGGCATTCTTAAATCATGAGAGATGCGATAATATAATATATATGATTAGAGTAAAAGCTCTCAGAAATGGATGTGGGGGTAACCACTCTCAATTTCCCAATTTGTGATCCTTATTCTTGCGCAGGAGAGGAAGTGGGCAAAGAACGCCCCCTCTCACAGTGTCCCTGCCCTCCCCAGAAACCTAGCCCGACAGTAGGCTGAGCTCAGGTCACAACTCTTCACAACTAGCCCCGCAGGCAGTAGCTGTTCTCTGGATCAAGCTCCGCCTGCCCTAGACTCCGCCCCCTCCGAGTTGGCCGGCTGTCAGGCCGCGCCTCCAGGACCGGTATCGGAGATTCCCGAGCTTTCCCGATCCCTTCCCGGCTTCCCTCGGGACGCTGGCGTGGAGGCGGCGGAGATTGCCGAGAGACGTTGACCCCGCCTCCCTCCCCGATTTCAGCCGCCACCGCCCCCTTTCCACAGCCTCCAGCGCGGGCCTGAGTCCTACGTCCCGGTCCCTCCTTCCTTCTTTCTCTCTCCCCGCCTTCCCGGTTGCTGCCACAGTGGCGGGTCGGAGGATCCCGGCCAGTCAGCTCGCTCCTGCCGCGCGCTCCTCCTCCTCCCAAATAAACAGCCCTCCCCGCGCCTCGGGAGGCCGGACCGCCCCCTTCCTCCCTCGGACGGCGTGTTGTGAGGGAGAGAGTGAGTGAGCGTCGCGGGCCGGCGGCGACCCTGGGAGCGCGAGAGGCGGGGCGGCGAGGCGCGACGGGCCGGCCGGTCGGCGGCGCGTGTGTGTGGGCGGGAGCGCGAGCGAGTGCCCGTCGCGACCACCAAGCAGCCCGCGCCCACGAACGCGCCTGCGGGCGGGCGACCGAACGGCGAGGAGCGGCGGCGGCGCCGGGCCCGCGCGCACGCACGCACGCACGCGGGGGGCGGGGCAGGCGCGCTCCCGCCTGTCGCGACAGTCGGGGCCGAGGTCCAGGGGGTGGTGGCCTGTCGCGGGTCGCCCGGCTCCCGGAGGCGAGGGGGGCGCGGGCGGATGGCGGAAGGCGCCCAGCAGCAGCAGCAGCAGCCCCAGCTCGGGCCCGGTGCCGCTGCCCGGGGCATGAAGCGGGAATCGGAGCTGGAGCTGCCGGTGCCCGGAGCGGGAGGAGACGGAGCCGAGCCCGGCCTGAGCAAGCGGCCGCGCACCGAGGAGGCGGCAGCCGACGGCGGTGGCGGGATGCAGGTGACCGCGCGGGACGGGTGTCCCGTTATCACGGGATGCGGGCGGGACCGGGAGGGGTGGCCCCAGGCTCCCGGCGTGGAGGCGGGTGGGGGGAGGGCTTCGGGGTCCCGGGTGGGAGGTGGGGGTGGCAGAACGCGGGCCGGGCCCGGCCTTGCTGAAGGTGGGCGAGCTTGGGTTTGGAGCTGCAGGATCCCGGTGTGTCCCAGAGGGTCCGGATTCTTCAGAGAATGAAGGGATAGCGCGAGTCAATAGGTTTTGGGGGGAAATCGAACATGATTGGGATGCAGTCCATTTCTTTACACCCTTCCTTGGTTCCTTGGGGAATCGGGAATCCCGGGTCGGTTGTCAGAGGAGAGGCGTTGGGCCGAGTGGAGGAAGAAGAGGGGATCCGGTGGGAACGCTCCCGAAAAGAAAGGGTACCTTTTGGATAGCTTTCTGCACACGCTGGGACAGGGAAGTGAGAGGCATTTGAAGGAGAGGCGTGAAAGGCGAAAAACTCCTGGAGAGAGCCCAAAGAGGATGTGGCTTAGGTTGTGGGTTCAATCAGTTACACAGGGAGTGCACGGAGTTTGGTAGTGTGGGGATACCGTGGTGCCTGTCTCATTAATTTTGTGGCGCATGCTAATGAGTGAAGAGAGACACAGAACATGTTCCTCCTGTACTTTGCCAATGGTATGCTACATCTCTGGGACACTCCAAGCTCTTTAATGCTCTCAGGTACAGAAGAAAATGTGTAGAGCTATTACAAGACTGGATTCTGAGTTGTGGGCCTAAGGACAAGGAGGCTGATTAGGGTGGGGAATGAGAAAAGTATTGATGATGTCAGTTACTTCCCAGTGTGAGGAAGGGCTTGAAACCTTTTAAGATTTTGTCTCTGTTCAGAAAATGCTTGTTATAAATTGGTGGGGTTCCCCCAGCATCAGTTGTTTGTAGACATCTGTCTAATTCTCGTGGAATCATAGAATGTTAGAAGGGACCAAAGGCATGATCATTTTTTGCAGCGGTTCTTAACCCGTATAAGATTTAGAAGATTCTTTTTTTTTTTTTTCCTATGCATTTTTCTGTGATGTCTCTATTTCTCACTTGTCAGGATCGATGATAAGGCTTGGAAGATTCTTATGTAGAATCGTTTGTATGAGCTTTTTGGTGAAGAGTCAATTTTCAGCATTTTTTTGGAGGGCGGGATTCCAGTCCCATCGTATTTTCACCATCTCTTTTTATAGATGGTGAATCAAAAATCCAGAGGACTAGTGACTTGCCTAAGGCCACCCATGTAGTTGGTTGTAAAACTAGAACCAGGAGCTTGGCTTTCTCATTCCTATTCCTGTGCTCTCTTCATTACACCACTCTTGGAAATCTCTGCAGTGCTAAAAGACTTCCTGTGCTCTGCTGCCTGCTTTTTCAAGGCTCTGCCTGACTTCCTGTGTTAGAGACAGAGCTGTACTTAAGCCTGGCATGCTTGTTGTGTGCCTATTGGTCTCCTTGCAGAGTCCACCCTGTTACTTCTGTTGGTTTGGGTACAATGACACTCTTGGTGTCTATTTGTGAGTCCTTTTGTTTGCCTGCTTTTATTCTTCATTAGAAGAAGTCTGTGGGGGGGTAGGGTAGGGGGTGGGGGAAAGGGGGGAGAAATGACCCAAACATTGTATGCACATATGAATAAAATAAAATAATAATAATTAAAAAAAGAAGTCTGTCAAGCAGAGAAGTAAAAGCTTAGTACCAGGGACCAAATATAGGGGAATAGAGGGAGACTTCAGGTGAGGTGAGTTATCATTGGATGGTAAGGAGGGAAGACTGGGTAGAGATGCTGGGGAGCATATTCTACCAGGTGTGTTCCACTTGATATCTGTGCATGTACATATGTATTCATTAATTTTTTTGACTAATCATAGTTAATAGTGAATCCCTTCTTTTCACCTGGGGCCCATTATTTGCTGGTTACCTTCTAATTGGCTAAGGATAGCAATACTTGGAAATGGAGCCATGTACAGGGACTTTGGGGATGTGCAGAGGAAGGAGTGGAGTAGGTCCCTTGGGTACACTTGGACAACTTAGAACTATCTCACAATCTTTTTTTCTGTTCTGTGTGTTTATGGATGGTCTTTATTTTTCACTTTGTATGTTCTCATTATTGTAGCTTCATCACACCACATCATAAACCATCATTGATTTAGCCCAATGCCTTCAGTTAGATGTTATCATGGGGAAAGCCCTTGTTTTGGGGCCTCTGTTTCTTAGTCATAAAAATAAGTGTTTGTGCAAAATGATTTCTAAGTTGTCTTCAAAAAAATATAAGCCACATTCCCTGTTCTTGAGGTGGGTATGATCTGGGTGGGGAGACAAATGGTTGAAAAGTTCAAAAAAGATGTGTGTGTTTACATGTTAATATTCATTTAACTAATGTTTATTGAGCCAGGCACCCTTTTAACTCTAGGGAATATAGCAGTGAACAAAGAAAGGCCCTGTTCTTGTGGAACAAATATTCTAATGGGACGGATATCTAATAAAGACAGCGACTTTTGTTGGTGGTGATAAGGGGTAGGAAGAAAAGTCAAGCAGGGAAAGGGATAGAGAATGACAAAGATGGTCATAACTCTGTAGGAGATCTTTGAGGGAAGTAAGGGAAGAGGGACCCAGAATACCAAGGCTTTGAGAGAAAAGTGTGCATGGGGTGTTGAAAACCAGCAGACCACTGTAGCTGGAGCACAGCCTTCAGGATCATTCTCAGGAAATGCCTATAGGCCCTATGTGAATATCTCAAGTAGTCAGTCTTTTGATATAAATTTGTCATAAAGTATGTGCTTTTTCTTACATTTTAACACAAATGGAGGTTTTTTGAAGTCCTAGATCTGTCCTTGAAGCCTTCCCTGACAGTGTAGCTGATACTAGTTAGACCTTGCTTTTACTCCCTGGTATACTTATACTTATTTATCCTTCTTCTGGTATTGTCCCCATGACTTTATTATTCTTATTCCCTAGTTGGACTGTAAGATTTCAAAAGACAGGATTCATGTGTATTTATCCTTCATAATACTTGACAGTTTTGGGCTTATGGGTAAGTGCTCAGTGCCTATCTAAATGAAGGTGAAGGACTGGGGGAGTGGGTCAAGTGGTAGAGCGCCTGCCTAGCAAGTATGAGGCCCTGAGTTCAAACCCCAGTACCACCACCACCAAAAAAAAAAAAAAAAAATATGGCAAAACATTATCTGTAAGTGTAAAGCCTTGAGTTCAAACCCCAGTCTCACCAAAATAAATAAGTAAAAAAACAAATAAATAAAATGAAATTGAAATTTACCTTTCATATATAGTTAAGAAATTTTAAAAATTCATGAAAATCTGTGGTGGGGATACTGTTACAAAATTTCCCACTCCCTTTGAGTGCTAAAGGATTAATCCTTTTTTTACACAATAAAGCTATTTATTGGGGTTAATTTCTGAAGGCTACTTACTAAATAGAGCTACAACTGTAAGATTCTGACTCCAAAGCTGCACCCTGTTGGGTTGCAGCCACTAAACTTCTGGAATAAATTATTACTTCCCAAAGTGGAGTCCAGGTGACTCCGGAGAGCCACTGGTTGCTTGTGTTACAAGTCTTAAGCTCAGGAGGAACTAGGGGAGAGGAAGCCTTATGTGGATGGAAGGAGTCAGTGCGGGCCTGGAAATAGTAGAGAAACCTGAACTATGGAGGAGGAGGAGAGAAATAAAGGAATTCAGTTTGAAAACTGGAATACAGTCTGAGAAATGTACTTAGTTGTTAAAGAGGTTTCTTGGAAATGGTTACTCTAACTTGGTGGAAAGCTAAATGAGTTACATGTATAGATATTAGAGGTTCATTTCACTTTAAGCAAATCTGATATGTATGAAATTTAGTTTCTGTAAATATACCAGGGAATGAATTCTTTTCATCAATTTTTCTAGTGAATGTACATTTTTCTAGTGATTATAGAAAATTCGATTTTTGTGCAACTTTCTAGGAACTTGGCTGCTGTGTAAGGTAAGATGCAACTTAATTATTTCTTAGAGCTTTCAGCAAAATTCTTTATAGTAGATATATGATTATTATGTGGCCAAGTAATTGCTTTTGAACATAGAGTCATAAATTCAGATTAGCTGAGTGTGTTCAGCTTCTGTTCATAGTAATTGGGAGACTTCCTTTCTCAGGGAAGTTCCAGTAGGCTGCAGTTGCTTTGTGAATCTCTGTTGATCTAGTCTTATCTTTTCACTTGCTTGTTCCTGGGTTAATTTCCTTCTAGGTGGTGTCTCTTTGGACCTTCATTTGGATATTTGGTTCTGAAATTGAGCATGGTGCAACCCTTTGAGTAAAGTTACACAAATAATGTGGTTTCCTTACAAGTAATTTCATGAACAGTATCTCACTAAAATTACTGAAATTTCTATTTCTATCTGTGGCAGCCTGAGTCACAAAAAATACCATGGACTGGGTGGTGTAAATAACAGGTACCAACATATCTGGTGAGGACCCAGTTCCTGGCATGCAGATAGGACCTTCTGGTTATATCCTCAGGTGGCCTTTCTTCAATGTGTCCTGAGGAGAGAGAGCAAACGAGAGCTTTTTTTTTTTGTATGTGTGTGTGAATTTAGGGCCTTAAGCTTACTAGGCAAGCACTCTTACTACTTGAACCACATCCTCAGTCCCTTTTGCTTTAGTTTTATTTCCCATATAGGGTCTTTTGCCTTTGACCAGGCCAACCCTGGACTGAAATCCTCCTACCTTTACCTCCTGAGTTTGCTTGCGGTCATGAGCCACCACACCATGCTTGTTTTTTGAGATGGGGTGTCGGATACCTACCTTTGAACCAGCCCCTCTTGTCTCCCAAGTAGCTGGGATTACAGGTGTAAGCCACCACACCCTGGGAGATCTCCTCAGAGTGGTCCCACTTCTCATGATCTTGTTAAATTCTAATTACCTCCCAAAGGCCTCTCCTACAAATATGATCACATTGAGGGTTAAGGCTGAATGAATTTTGGGAGAAGAC